CTGAGAATTCCTTGGTGAGCTGAAACAGAGGTTCCAATTTCAGTCAAGAATGGCCAATAAGCTCTGTATAACAACCTTACACAGCCAGAATAATAAGAAATATGCCTAAAGAAATGATTTGGGGGTGTTGATCGATGAAAAGATAACCCCAGGCTGCAACAAACCAGGGTTGCCGGTGTGATTATGCGTTTTTCGCTATGGTTGCAAATCGTTAACAGCAGCAGCGGTTCCTGCGCCGCAGTTTAGCACTCGAATTCACATCGACTGTGCCTTGGCCTTTTTTTTGCAGGGAGGAGGAAGGACGTCGGTTTGGAGCAAAAGTGCTGCATTGTGGAACCGATAAAAATCATTTTTTATACGTTTTTGCTGTGTAGCACTATAGCGCTGCTACAGCCAGCAAAAACGCATATTGTCGAGAGGTTGTCTGTGTGTGCGTTCAAAAACGAATGAAGTTTGTCACCTAAATTCATCTCAGCAACCAGGAAAGCCGGGAGGCTGAAATTTTGGGTATATGTTCCTACCCCGTGTGTCACCCTTCCGTTTTAGGATCTTCCCCCACACGTGCCTAGACCTTGCGCATGAACCCAAAAAAAATACGCATATTTCTTTGGCAGGTAACGATTTTGCGGACCAGGAAGGTTCAAAGCTGAAACACTGCAGCAATATTCTTTGTGCATGTGCGAGATAAAGATTTTTAATTCATCTGTCACGCACGCCACTGCAGCGCGTACGGTCACGTCAAAATTTGCAACTTGGTACTGTGTTGACCAAAAAACTTGCCGGAATACAGTGGCTGAAATTTTGTCAGCATTTTTGTTGCCCATATTGGAAATTGTATACTCAAAATGAGTACCCATTTGCAGTTGCACCACGACTTAGAGCACTTCGAAAGTATTTGTAGTGAAGTGTATATTTCGCTTGCCGGATAAGCTGTGAGGCTAAAAATACTCTGGGATATTCTACTTTCAAGTGCGATCTTAATTCTGATTGGAGGTGAAATTCCCTGCAGGTGAGCGTGAGAAATACTTAATTTTACCGAAAAATCAGAAACAAGTGCGAACGACCGCCCTTATGCAAATATGTGAATGAACATTCAGTTCATTCAGTTCATTTGCACACTTGGATTTTTTAACAAACGATCGCTCTTGCAACATTTCCACTTTTTGGCGAAATGGAAATTTGCATTTTTCACTTTTCCAAACAGGGAGCATTTGCCGAAAAAACGACCAGCCTTCATGAAGAAAACTGGTAATCTTGTATAAAGAGGTCCACGCGACCTTGTAATGTACCACCTTCATCCTAACCGGTGCCCATTCTGCTACATGCCGGAAGAAACCAAAGTATGGCCAATATGAGCCTAGATGTTACGCTACAGCGCAGGGGTCATTCCTGCTATTAGCGATCAGTGGGTTTAGTGCAAAAAAGCATGATCGCTGCGGCAAGCCTGGTGCATTCCAGCCTGGGTTTGCATGAAGCTCGGTTATCTTTCCGGCGAATGGCTGTATATCGAAAAAACGCAAATTTGAAGGAATTCACATGAGGATTACGAAGCCCACAAAATACACTCGCTTTTGAATTTGCGACAAAACTGAATAATTACAGTGTTCGCGTGTTGGGAATTTCACTCCCGAGCTGAACAAACATACTTGAACATAGAATGAATATCCTTCCAAAGTTTCAGCTTCGCAGCTCGCCTACTGAACG